GTTGAACAAATAGACTGTGTGTTTGATGTTCTGAAAATAACATAAAATCATGTCACATTCTCATGTCTTTGTGAGGTATGATGACTTCACAAAGACATTGTATACAGTGTTTTAGTGTTGTTGTCTTTGTGAGGTATGATGACCTGATGATTGGACTAAAAACGAAAATTAAGCTAATTATTTTTGCTATTTTTTTTTCTAACAAGTTTTCTTTGATTATTGCTGTGGAATTATCCATCTACCAACTCTGACTAGCTTCTTGGTCTCTATGAAGAATAAAACTACCCGTTTTAAATGGTAACATCGTTTACATTAATGTTCACTGTAACTCCTTAATCGCGTCAGATTCTGTCATGGCTCCTCCTGTCTCAACACTGTGTAACAGTGTCCTCTACTGGCGTCTCTTTGTCATTACAAGCACTACAAATGGTAAACAGAAGAAGGCGGATGTCTGGGATGTGACCAGAGCCCGTTATTTTGGACGGACAGGCCCGAATTCGTCTGGTGGGTTCCTGCTGTTTTTCAGAACCAAGGGGGGGGAAGACGCAGGTCACTGATTGATTTTGTTTCTCCAAGTAAGTATCGGGTATCTTGTTCGCTTTTTATTGTCATCATTGTCGGCAATGTTAAACGGTTTTCGGCCTGCTAGACTAACCCGCCCTGTCAAAAACAAACGAGAGATATGTATTTTATATCACAGGGGTTTTCCCCCTAAAATTGCGCAATAAATGACTAAAAAAGAACTTGTGCAGATTTTGTGTCGCACTGAAGAAAGCTGCTGGTTAAAAAGTATATTCGCAATGAGTGAGGCATGGACAGATTATTTGTTTCAGAATATATAATAAAATAAAGCGTCACAATCATAGAAGCCCTTCAATGGGATGCTGAATCATGTCAGATGTCTCTCATCAACATCTGTATACAAAAGATACGAGGTCAAATTTCTAGCATTAAATATTTCCATGAAATGTGGATAAAAACATCATATTGAATGAACCTGAATGAACCTTGCAAAGTTTTAAAAATGAAATCATGAATATAGTATTTCTAATAAATTAAGTCCTTTTCCTCAGATTTCATTTAGTTTGTTTTTATGCAACTGTTAAAGTCGAAATACAACGGATCACTATGAATTTGTGTAAAATGATTTTATAGTGGGTAAGCTGTAAGGATGTATGTGTGTATGAATAGACGGATGATCAATGATGGATAGATAAACAGATTTTTTTTCTTTGCATTCATCATCATAGCTGTTATCCTCTTGTTGTGTTTCCAGGATTGCACATCGATCCCTGCGGTACCGACACGTCAGACGTCTGGGTTGTTACCATGCGTTCTTCCACTACATACGCTGCTGTGCTCTGTCTCCTTGCCGGGGCAGTGACAGCCATTCAGACCCCCAAGAAAGGTGAAAAAGGCCACCACAAATACCAGATGGAGCTGTAAGCCTCAAGAGTGGGTCAGAATAAATACAAAATGGCAGCATCTGTAGCACTGACCTGTGAAAGGCATTAAGTAAACAGAAGCACAGCTACTCTTAAAATGTTATATTTATGAACAAAAACTTATCCTCTTTCACCCTGTCACAGCCTGATCGATCCCTATTCATGTCTCAACATGTTTCAGCTGTTTTATAAAATAATAACAATAATAAATAGGGTTTTTAGATGCTATTTAGAAGTGTAAATGCAGACCGGCTTTAGCTGAGATCGACAAATATTAAAAAAAATATTTTAAAGAACTAGAATAAGATGGACTGTTTGCCCTCTATTTGTAATGTGCACGAACCGTTCTACAATACAATAATTACAGAATGTGAATCTTTCCTTTCCAAAAAATTTGCTAATTTCCAAAGAAGCTTACTGGCTCTATACATGAATTGGCCTTGCTGAGTAAAGTCACTGTTCCCTCAGTATTTCTGGAGAAGCAGCAGGCCACCTCGCTGATCTCCCGTCAGAAGAGAAATGCTGGAGCGTCCAACTTGGAGCAGGCTTGCATGGAGAGGGTGTGCAGCTATGAGGAAGCCAGGAAGTATTTCCAGGACTCGTATCGCACGGTTAGTAGCTTGCTGTGTATTCCCTTCATTTTAAATTCCTCTAAGCGTCCTCATTCTAAGAACTGACAGATAAGACCTTTCACGCGCCTGCTTCTCGCTCATCATGTGCAATTTTTCTTCCAGGACATTTTCTGGTCTGTCTACATTGGTAAGTTACATTAAAGAACCTTGTGTTCAACAATGCGCTGCCTCTTCTCACAAACGTGTTCTCTGTTAGATGGAGACCAGTGTGCTGAAAAGCCCTGCAAGAATGGAGCCATGTGCTCCGACAGTGTTGGAGGCTATGACTGCGTCTGCAAGTCAGGTTTCACGGGAGTCCACTGTGAAAAAGGTGCAGATCTGTTGTAGGCATCATGTAAAAACTGCTGTTTGTTTATTACTTACACATTAGTGTGCACACTCTGCTACATTCTGCAAACCAGATGAGACTCTTTGCACGCTGGAAAAGGACAAGGGCTGCTCACAGTTTTGCAAACCGGGCTACACGTCCTACGAGTGTTCCTGTGCCCGAGGCTGGAGGGTCAAAGACAAGGTCAAGTGTGAAGCTGCAGGTATATTGTCAGTTTTTCCTTTTGTGTATTTTTTGCAACTAAGACAAAGTTAAGCTTCCTACTTACTTACCATAGGTTATACTTACTTGAGTAATCTATTTTCACCTAAAATGTATTTTGGATAAATTGACTGTCAGTAAATTAACCTATCAGTCCAGTTTGTGTAGGAGACAAAAGCAGATACATTTTGTTTTAACAAAGAATTTATTGACATTGTTTGGCATTAAATCAAATTAAACTTTTAACCTGTATGTCTTGGGTTTCCTTCCCCAAGCTTCTCAATAGTTTTTTTTTTATGCTGCAGTATAATAATATAGTATAATTGTAAAAACTAAAGGTAACTACTTCGTGGATTTCACTTATCGTAATCGTTTGAAGTGATAAATGTGGTACCTGTAGACATCTGGAAATTGTACCTAAAGATAAACCAAACCTGCAGAGGTCCACATTTGTGTTCCTGATAACTTTGTAAATTTTTCGTAGATTTTCAAAATGTCGCACAAGAAAACAGTGTGTATGAGGTGCTTCCTTAAAATACATGTAAGAGTGTCTTTACCAACAGAAGCTTACTAATCTAATCTAATCAGAACCGTCTTCCCTTGTTAGTCAGATACCCGTGTGGTCAGGTGAACTATCTGCCTCAGTGGAAGAACAGACAGTCAAGTCTTTCTTCCAGTGACTTTGATGGACTTTCTTGTACGGTATCCGAGTGTCCTTGGCAGGTAAGGGGAGCCTACTCTAATGGACCACCTTGCACAAACTCCTGTAGATGCCCTTTTTGTGTTCACACAGTATCTCGATCTTCTTACCAGGCTTTCTTGAAGACTTCAGAGTCTCAGGGCTTCTGTAGTGGAGTAATTCTGAAGGAGGACCTCGTCTTGACTTCAGCTCAGTGCGCCAATAAATACAGCTCCTTCAAGGTTGCAGTTGGTAAGTGTAGTGAACATTAACGCTTCTTTGAATTCGGTGCTTTGCACAACACCAAAAACCGATGTTGTCCATTCCATTGTCTCGTCAGGAAAGCGCAGCAGCAACGTTGAAGACGGAGAGCAGACGCTGTATGTGAAGCTAATTCACGTCCATCCTCGTTACGTGAGAGACCGTCCTGAAAATGACCTGGCTGTGGTAGAGCTCCGCGACCGCATAACCTTTAAGCCACATGTTGTCGCGGCCTGTCTGCCAGAGAAAGACTTCGCAGAGAGCATCTTAATGTCTGGAGATTTGCCGGCTGTTGTCACCGGCTGGAAGGAATCCACACAGATGTCCAGTCTCCAGGGCGAGCTCACTATAAACCAGCTGGTGTACAATAAGCTGCCTCAGTGCATGGAAACGTACCCCAACCTGATGACCAATAAAATGGGCTGCACCGCTGCCCGGGCCAAAGCCGACTGCTCCATGAGCTCGGGCAGCCCCTTGCTCACAATGTACAGGGATGTGTTGTTTCTCACAGGGGTGGTGAGTAAGCCAGAAGGGGCTGACTGCACCAAAGGCTACATCTTCCAAAAAGTGTCCCGCCACCTCAGCTGGCTGCAGACGTTGATGGGTTCACGTTAGAAAGGTGAAGCGAGGGAACACATCAAGCTTCATTATGAATTTAGCTTAATGCAGGTAAATAATTACTTAAACAGGAAATCTGTTCTATATATTTTTTGTTTAACCTCAGTCATAAGCTTTTCTGCGTGTGTATTTTTAAAATATCCATAACATAAGAAACACTGGAGTTTGTTGGATTTTCTTCCTCTGTGCACTTCATCTTTTATCCACAAGGTGGCTCTCTGTTGACGTCAGTAAAGAGCTTTCCTCTTGCATGTGTTAAGTACTCAGAGGTTGTATGACCTGTAAATTGTTCAGCATGTTTGTGATGTGAACATACTTTCCAATACCTTTGAAGTTATGTTATTTCAACAACAATGTAATGGTTGACTTGCACCTTAAAGAAGCCCTGGTAAACACAGTTTTATGAATGTAATAAACCATAAAACCAAGACCAATTTATAGTGCGGTGTCTCTAATTTATAGTAATGTAAAATGGTTTTAAGCAGTTTTGTAGATTTATGGATATCTGAGATATTGTTCAATCATCAGGTGACTGCCAAGGTCAGAAATATGGATATTAATGTACAACATTATGTATGTTAATATTCTACAAAACAATCTAATCTATACTACAGTCTCTGCTTGTTCCTAAAATATCTACTGACAAAGTATTTCCACTCACGCAGATTTTTGTCCTCCAATATCAAACATAGGTAAAAACAAAACGTTTTTATGCAGTTTTCTCATTTTAGAAGCACAAATTGCACACTGCAAACTATCAAGAAAAGCAGAAGTGAAAAGCGAAAAAAACAAAGCATAGAAAATAAACTTTGAAAAACCTTAATAAAGCATGAAGACCACTTTAAATATAACAGATCAGGTTTCTTGTAACAAAGTTTAGGTGTGACTAAGCAAAGTATGAACACTAAACCATTGTAATGATGAAATGGAAACATGAATCAGCACACATTCTTTATCAAAGCTTAGCTAATCAGGGGATTTATTTAAGATTTCCACAGAGAAACTTTGAAAGAGAAGAAGATCAATAATAAACAAAATATAATTTAGCAGTAATAAGAACTACCCATTCAAAAAAGTTGGCCTGAGTTGCTCCGTCCATGGTAATGTTTTCCCATTTTGTCCCACATAGACATTATTAGCCTGGCCTGACTGTCACATACCAGTGTGTTGTCTGGCAACATTTTCCCACGGACACTCACCCTCAGCAGTCTTCTCACAGCCTCGATGGGCTGGTGAACAAGGCTGGGGCCATGTCATGCAGGCAAAGAAAAAAAAAAAAAGAAACAGAAGAATGGGCTGGAGAGACTGAAAGCAATAGAAGGCCCATAACAAAAAAAAAAAAAAAACTGGCCTGCCACTTTAGATTGGGAGCTTGAAAAGAACATCTCGGAAAGTTGGGGCCTATGCTGGCTGTTGCCATGGTACTCACCAGGGAGATGGCTCCTCGCTCCCAAAAAATGGCCGTGCTCCTTTACTGGGCCGTCCAGAGGAGATTCATTTGACGGAGCACCTTCCTTCCTGAGTGTGGTCCTGCTCTCCGGTTCTACCAGTTCAGTTTTCAACCGAGAAAGACGAAAGATTATATGAATATATATACAATTAATACTGACATATCACACTTTGTAATTAATACTAATACATTTTATATGTTAGAATGGCCCAGTCAAAGTCAAGACTGAAATCAAGTCAAGAATCTGTGACAATACTTTTTGCAAAGAAGAATGGGCAGAAAGGTCATTCAGCAGATATGCAAAATTTGTAGAGACATACAGCTCCACACTTATCCTAATTCCCCAGATTACAGAGTTTATATGTATAAACATTTTTGAGAATTATGCATTATTTTCCCTTCACATTGGACATCGGTTTGTCCAATGAAATAAAATGCTATAAACTAAAGTTTATAGTTGAAACCAGGCAAAATGTGGGAAAAAAAATAAAATAAATAAAGTTACAATATGGGCTATGTGGGAGTTATCTGACAAACTGACAAAGTGCTGACATTAGCCAACAATTAGCCAACAAAACTATATAAAAAACGATCTGGTGATTGCAGTGTTGATGCTGAACAGAAGCCAGTCTTTGAGTGGACATATTGAGAGATCTGAGAAACACTGAGAAACACTAGCAACCCGATCACAAGGGCTGCAAAGTAAATGGCGATGCTATTCCTATTAATGGAAAAAGTCATGACAAACTTTTAAGGAAACTAAATTTTTCTTGAATACGTCAGCAGAGCCCACATCTGACCAAATCCCACAACTTCAGTAATCCTTAATTCCCCCCAAACCCAACAACAGTCACATGCTGTGACCTCATATTCTTGCATGTATTTTGTGTGTGTTGGAAAGCACACTAACAAAAAACATCTCATTGTTGGAAAACCTGACCATCTTAGTTCATTACTACTTGCTCAAACACGTCACCCGATCTTTTCCAGTAAGTCCATTCTCAAAATTTATGTTCCCAGTCTTTTTTTTTTTTTTATCCTACATTAGCTTGTCTCTTAGTTTAAATCAATGGAAAAGCTACTTCCTTTCGTCCCACCCCCATTCAGACTCTAGCCCATGCCAGACAGAGCGGCTTCTACTTCACTGGGTAATTGTTCAGACGGGTGGAGGTAAAACTAGACCTCAAGAGGTTATAGCTTGGGCTGAAAGAAAAATTTGAAAGCAAAAGAATTAGACAAGCTGAAAGGTTTTATATAACACTGCTATAGACTAATATCTCTCTTTATGTAAAACACTCATATACAGTAGAAATGGGTCCATCTTCACTGGGCCTTATGTTCCTCTCTCTTGGCTGAGTTTAGCTTTAAATAATTAACACGTTTTTGGATGAAAACTTTACAAAACCAGGACTTAGTCTTCATGACTAATGTATATTTATCTGTTTTTGTAGAATCATCTGTAGCATTTTGGATCATATCTGACCAGGCAGAAGTTATGTAAGAGACTGGAGGCTTCTGCTGACTATTTGAGAGTCTCCCATTATGTGCCTTATGAATTTTATATAAACATAGGAGGAATAGGACCCTGGAGACAAAGGAATGACTCTGTGCTATTATTTTTAAATCCAGTTGGGGATAAATGTGCCAGCATACCAACTTGCTCATGATGAATTTTTCATAAAGCCAATATTTAGCAGCAATTCTGCAGCATTTGCTCACAGACTTGGAGCACAACAGCATGCTAAAATATATTCATTATGTCCATTGGCTCAACTACATTCACAAAGGTGCATTACCATTTCAGGTCCCACTGAAGTCTAGCCAGATATTCCTTTGACTGAACTTCGTCTCTCCAAGATAGTTTTAGAGTGTCTGGCAAGTTTGTTTAATCTTAGCTGACACAAAAACTAAGGACAACAATAGAGCATTCGACTTAGATGAAATAGAAAACAATAAGTGTGTGTAACAACATTATATTTGAACATTATATAGATGTGGAGATCATCAAAACTGGTTTATTCATTCTTCAAATTAATTTTGTTTAGTCAAAAAGTTATTTTGTCCTCACATTTACTGCTGTATAGGTAAATGTTGTTCTTGACAGTTGGTGGTTACCATAGCAACCAGTAACTGCCAGCTCATCCCCTTTTTCTGCTGCCATCTGTAACTGTGGTATGTGCTTTCTTTACAAGTATTATATTTTAACATGAGGCTAACTTAGTTAGATACAGGGTTTCATATGTAATCTTGCAATGTTTTATATTTTAAGCATTTTTAAAATATATACAAAGATGCTTTGTCTATATTAAAAGTGCTATATAAGTTTGATGTATTTTTATTATTATTATACTCTTTATTTTTTTTTTTTACTTTTAACTGTTATGATACTGAATGTTGTGCATTTCAGATATGTTCATCTGTATATCTATGAACTCTTCATTGGGAACCATTTCTCTGTAGTTGTATTTTTTATTTTATTTTTTTCTTGTATAGGGGCAGAAACTGTGGGACTGATGGTAATCATCAACTTGATTTTCCCTCTGAGGTATGTTTTCATTTTAATTTTTTACCAATTGTGTGGTAGTCTTTGAATGTTAAATAGTTCCTGTACTAAAAACATACATATTTATCGCTATTTGTGTTAAAGATAATATTAGTTATGCAAACTAACGATGTAAATTTATGTTACATTCGACTATACGATCACACTCAGGTTGCCCCTCTTTCTGTTGCAGTCTGTAACTGTGGGACAGAAGCTGTTGGACTGATGTATTTATTTTTTCTCGTTAGAATAAGTACAGTGAGTCTGAGTGTGTCTGTTGTGAAGTCAACCTACTGGACCAGAGACAAACAGAGAAGGGTCGCACATGGACAGACATGGGTAAATAATTTAATCATATTTAACACATCCAGTAAGCTCTTCACTATTTTCTATGCATGTGTAAATACTAGTGGATGTAAAAAAAAATAGTACTGCTTTGACATTTTTTGGCATTTACTGTACCACTCATTGGTGGAGGATCTTTTAATATGGTAGCAACACGGGTACTGAATACTACTTGTGAAGTGCTTTGCACTTTAAAGTCACATACTATTGTTTAGTATCCAATATAGCTATCATTCATAAATTGTGGTGAAAGTTGAAGGTTTAAACTATTTATTAGCACTTATTACAGTGTGTATCACAGTAAGCCAATGGCACACATGCTTTATTTTGGCACATTTAAAAATCTGCACAGCTGAGTAGCTGTTAGCTTTGTTGTCTCATAGCAACAGGCTCCTTTGATTTTAGCCAGACTATGGAAAGCTGAGCAAAGATGCTTAGAAATTTCTTTATAAGGTATTATCTATCAACTGCTCTTGTTAACTCGTGATAATACTCAGAATTTTTGTTTTAATATTTAGTTATTTTGACCTAAAAAAACAAATTTTATCAGTATTTTTGACAGCACAATAAGGCATCCCAGTGCTTTATTGACAAAACAATAAGGCATCCCAGGCACTGGGATCCCAATAAAGCACTGGGGTCCCAGTGCCCTATTGAGTGCCTCAATATTTTGGCTACTGATTCAAATTGTAAGATTGCCATCAAAAAACATCACTGATCACATTAGTGTAATTGATCATCACCAGATTTCAGAATTAAAGCATATGAGAACCACACATTTTTGACTAGCTTAGTTCTCTTGAAATTAATAATCAACTCATGACTCAGAGTAAACCATTGTTCATTATTGTGGGACCTAGAGACTGGGCGACAGAGCAGGAAGGTAAATCCTGGTGTTGCCTTTATTCCAATGACCCCACTTCGACCTTCTGTGGGTTAAACCATGTGTATAGGGCCACTGGGAGACCTGAAAAGCTCACTAAAGGATCTCCAAAGCTCACTGAATGAAAATATGGTGCATGGTGAGGTCTTCAAAGAGGTCAGATAACCCCATGCCTATAGTGGTGAAACTAAAAAGTATGTTTTACTTCTTCAATACAATTTATTTGTTGATTTGATTCTCGGGCATCTGGAATCTGCATCATCCTGGCTTCTTCTGTTTTGCTGCCTGGAGTCTTGACCTCGACAACTACTGGAGTGTGAACTGAATAGACAGGGTGGCGGATGGATGAGATTTGGATTATCCCGCTTAACTGAATTACCAACATTAAGGGAAAAAGCAAGAGTGTATTTCCTTCTGAGCAGCTGTATGATTATGCTAGTAGCACAGCATGGTGATAAATTCTGAATTTCCACAGCAGGATTTTATATGAAAAAACTTAAAATGTCAAAAAAGCCCTTAATATTTTGAATAGCGAACAGCTGGTCCCTGATGGCAGAAGGAAAAGTGAGCACTAATCGTAGACAGTAAAAATAACAACTGTACTTAATGCAAAGTAGCAAGTTTCATGGTGACTTTTCAGTTTTAGGAAGCACTGTGCAGGACAAAGAACCTTTGATAAATCGCTACATGGATCCTGAAGCGTTTTAATCCAGTTTCATGGAGTTTTTCTCTGATGAATGGAAATGGATATGTTGAGAATAAAACAAGGAAGCTTTTCAGCTACAACTTCATCTAAAACTGATAGATTTGACAATCCAAAAAGACATTTTTATGTCTCAAATTGGTCACTACTGCATTGTGCTGGTGAGAAGTATTATAAAGCGGTTTTTCCTAAAAATTGTTAAGGCTGAGAAGAACTGGAATATCTGTTGAGCTTGTGAATCAGATGAGAGCAGAACAACTCCTGACAAAGCACTGATATCTCAAACTCACATCGTTTCCATTACAGCCTGAGTAAAGTGGGATACATACATGGAAATAAAGTTACTCTATATAATTAGTCACTCTTCCTGTTAATTTGGACACCTGCATCCTGTCATAGTTAATGCATCCTGTAAGGTCACAGGATCTCATTGTGATGCTAGTTGCTGGAAACAGATGCAGCGTGCGTGTCTCCGTGTCGGCCACCCTGCTGTCACTGCGCTGTTTGTTGTGCGGAGGCCAAAAGGAGGCCTTGACGACGAGACGAGGCAACCTCCGGAGAAGGAAGAGGAAAGAAAAGCGGGGGGGCTGGAGGGAGAAGACATACCTCAAATGAATATGAATGGAAAGAGAGAGATTACTCAAACTTATATATAGTAGATGAGTCAAAAATAAACCGGGACAGCACCTGTGAGCCTGCTGTTCTGGTACAAAAGAAGGTTTATTTAACAGACAATAACTCACGAGGCTGAGCCACAGTTAGTACAGGCTGTCAGTACGGCTATATTAGTCAGTGACTGAGCCTCACATGTGATCACTCTGATCCAAGTTACTGTAGAACCCGCTATAAATACTCCGACATTCTTGTCTAAACGTCAAACTAATGATGAGAACATGCACTACGTATGCGTTCAATTTCTACTGAACCAGCCAGTTCAAGCAATCAGGTCTGGAATATAGACAAACTAGCTCCCAGTTCACAGATTAAGTGAATTTCTGAAGCTAAAATACATCACACAAACAGCAGCTGAAACCAGATATTTGCAAGCACTCAATGAAAAGACATATGATCCTTTTTCTCACTGTCTGACATTCAGTTCAATTCAGTTCCATTTCCCAAAGCTAAATTAAATGTTGCTATGTATATCATCCCAGTGTCTTCAGAGAGTCATGGGCAGTCAGTCTTGCAGCAAATGTAAAGAAGCCTCTGACTGAAGTCATTGCTGCTGTATGACAGCCTCATGACTGCCACACATGATCGTCATGACATACTAGAGGGATTATTTCACAGTAACATGTCCTGGAGGACATGAGCTGCTAGTCCACCTCATTTGCTTTCGCTGGTTGTATGGTTAGATACCAAGAAAAGAAACGTATTTGGCTCAGATTTCTGTTGCAATAACTTTTATATTCTGAAAAGGTGGACTAATCACCTTGTAACACATGAAACATGTTCAAAGATTTTCTGCATTCTGGCTTCAAAAGGAAACTGGAAAATAATTAAAAAGACTTTTTTTACTCTCTATTCTGCAGCCAGTCTTTGCAGAAAGTTGTTGCATAGGCACTCATGATAAATCTGTGTAATGGTTTCAAAAATAAATTAATCTTCATTTGCAGCAGTCTAATATCATATTGAACTTTTTTTTGTGTGATTTCTCTTACTGTAGATGTGGGTAAATTTTGGATTTGAGTCAGCTGTTTGTTTTTTTCTTCCTTCTTCTTTTTAAATTAAATCAACACATGAATCATCCATTTACCTTGAGGAGCCTGATTGCTTGCCTTTCCTATTTTAAATGGCAACTAAGCAGGAAATTATAGTTTGCTGATTAAAAGGTCCTGGACAGGGCGAGATTTACTTAAAAAGCATTTTACACATTTTTCAGGCACTATATATCAGAGTGTTATGTGTAATCTAACTGGCTATCTCAGTAATGCCCATGTGCAGTAATTACATGGTCATAAGCCTCTCAATTACCTTATTATTTTAACTTGATGAGGGATGTTTCTTTGAAATCAATTTACCATGATTAAATATGTGTGGTTGTTCAATGATTTCCTGTCCCTTTTCACATCTTCCACGGCTCATATAAAGATAATGAGAATGGCAGCACTACCAGTGATATACTGCAAGGGCCTGTCCGCTGATAAGTGAAAGAACCATTAATCTCTCCCAATCCTCCTGTTTCAAGCACTGACCCCTCCTCCACATGGCCCTCCTCCACCCCCTCTTCCCATGCTGTCACTCTCTCAGGCTGCACCTGTCACATTAGTCTCACATCCTCAGCTGCCATTCCATATGATACGCCTCCTTCCTGCTCCCAGAGACTGTGTGTCACCCCTTTTTGCCTGGATTTATGAGTATGAAAAGAAGGAGAGCAGGAAAACAAGAGATTAAAGCTAAAAATAATTAAAAAATAAATAAATAAATAAATAAACCTGCACGTGTCAAATGTAAGTGTGCATATAACTTTCTGCTACAATTGGACCGGTGCCGATTGTATGTCCAAAATATGGATTAACACTCAATCGGTGGATTAATTGTGATAAAAATCCAGCACAGATATCAGCTTCCTGTATAGATGTGACGAGGCTCCTTCTGTTTGTTATGAACTGAAATGGCAGGAAAACGACAACAGATTCGTGCTGTGATGAAGGCAGAACAAGAATCAGAGAGGAGGAGGTGCAGTAGTGGCGGTGGTGGTGGGGGGAGGAGGGGGGGGGGTCACCACTGAAATCCTCCCAGATAAGACGGACTGGAGCAGCTGTGGCAACAAACGTGTGATGAAATCGAGAAATAATAATCCCCGCAGCAGTTTGTTGCTGCGTCAAGACCTCTGAGATGACCGGTGGAAGCATAAACATTTTTTTTTTATGTATGCTATTCAAACAATGGCTTGCATGAAATTGCATTTTTTTTTTCTCCCGAGGCAAGGATATGAAATATTAATAACGTAAATCAATAATATAAAACTTACGTTAATGTTTGAAAGTCATAGTAGTAACTTAGAATGAATTAACTCGTGTAGAATGATGCGTTCAAATCTCGCTGAATGTGTAGCTAAATGCAAGAAAATGAAGAAAACATGTTAGATGCTGCAATGGAAGAGAAGGGGATTGGTGTTCACCTTCCAGCAGGACAATACGAGCTGCAACACCCGCATAGATCAAAGTATGTGTTGGTGACCCAGTCAAAGTCTACACCTATCCAAATTACATACAGCAAGACTTTAGAAGTGCTGCTCACAGATTCTCTCCATCCGCTACTTTGTCTTTTGGATTCCAATGAAATCCATTTATCCCAGTGGGGAGGGGGGAAAGAAAGTTCAAGAGTTGTGAATATGTTTGAATGGCTGCGGTGGCATTCGGTGGAAATTCAACAGCGTCCACACTTTATTAGTCTGAAAAACAACAGCTTTAGGAGCGGACTCGCCGTCTCCAGCTGGGAGGTAACCTATAAGCTGAACACATGCCAGTAAACAAGTCATTTATCAGAGTGAGGCGGTTTAACAGGGAAAAGACAGAGAGAAGTCCGCGCTGAGGGTGTGGAGAGATGTCACTTTCCGTGCTTGTGTGCGCGCCTGGCTGCGTAGCGGGATTACCATTACGCACGTTATGCGGAGCGCTGTTTTGGTGATGCGTTCAGTCGGGAGAGGTGCAGCGGGGAACTGCGAGCGTCAAACCGGAGACTCAGAGACAGAATCAGCAAAATAACCGGAGAGAGAAGGAGGAGGGGCACGGTTTGTTATGGGGGGGATTTTCACTCGTTTACAATCTCTCTATCCTGGAGAAGATGCGCACCGTTAAACAAAGGATTTAGGTTTTTTTTCTTCTTCTTCTTCTTCTTCTTCTTTGTAAGGATACGGGACCTGTCTTGTATTTTGACCCTGACACCCTCTCCGGTTCGGACTTGCATCAATGCTTGTTTTGGCTCCGAGGACCGCGGACACTGGCTGAATCTCCGGGCACTCGTCTGCTTCGGAGTCCATGTGGAGCGGGAGAGGAGCATCAAACCCAGCGAACTGAGCTCAGTCCGAAATGTGACATTTTTAAAACAATATTCAGCATCCCATCAAACCTGGCGACGGTGAATCCCTCTCTATACTAGATCACATCTGTTTACATCGATCAAGGTAGGTGCTGAACGTAGAATGCTGATTGATTCAGTCGTGGGGGTGGGGGAGAAGTGTGGACGTCCGTGCGCCTGGTTTATTTAGAGGTCTGTGTTTTAAATGTCCTGAAGAAGACCTGGTTTTATTTGGAATCCGGCTGCTGTGTCGTAAATAAGATAAGAGCCGCATCAGTTGCAGTATTTTGGGGGAGAAAAACGGCGATGTCTATGCACCAAATGCATAGGTGTGTGACGCGGAGAAGCGGTATGGACACATATGCTCTTGCTCGTAATGGTGCATTTAACAAAAATAAAATAATAAAAAAAAAACCTCAACACAAATCTGTTTAGGGCTCCAGTCGATGTTTTTTGCACTTTTTTTTTCTCACGGAGATAAAGGCGTCTATGTCTTTTGGCTGCGCCTCCATTTTCATCACACACTAGGGGGGGGAGGAAAGGGGGTTTCAGGGGTGTCAATCACTTCTCTATTCTCCAGCTTTGAGGCTGGATACCATTCCCTATTTTTGGATCACACACAGTCACGCACCTCAATAACAATGGTTCATAGCTGCTGCTGTCCCCCCCACCCCCTCAAACAAACACACTCTTCTGGAACCCCCAGGGACCCTCCCATGTGGCCTTTATTGTTAAACGAGATGAGGGGGGGGGGGGGGGGAAGAAAAAAGAAAAAAAAAGAGAAAGAGCTTACTTTAAATGTGTGATTGCATTTAGCTGTTCTTGCAGGTCAGCTAAAACCTAAAGGGAGACACCTTGGGATGTGTTCCTCCCAGCTCTGCACATAAGAGTCTAATTTGACTGAGGCATTTTGTATGGAAATGGATGTCAGACTTTCTGTAGGTCAATATATGACATATGAGCCTGTTGTCAGTGCAGGATTTGCTCTCCAAAAGCTCCTGGGTCTTTTCATTTTATTATTATTTTTTTTTACTGTGTTCTGTTTTCCCTCATGAATAAATATTCAGCTGAGTGGAGCTGTTTATTATCAGACTGTGCATCCATCAGTTAGTTAGCCCCCTCTTGGGAAAAGATGACACGACCGTGTCCTCTGGGCTGAAGCCATATGTACCCAGTACGGATTACTACACAGTGTGTTCATTCTCCCATTTTGCAACGATAAACTTCCATGTGTTTTACTGGAATTTATATGTGGTAACTCAAGCTAATCACCATGAAGTGGTAAGAAAATGATACATGCTTTTTAAATGTACTTATTTTATAGAAATTGTTGTACCGCGCATATGCACTCAGCCTTAAGACTCAAGAATCTCCTTTTGCTTCAATCTCAGCTGCAACTTGTTTTACCAACTTTGCACATACAGAGACAAGTTCTGGCACATTTTTGTGCAAAATACCGTAGATCAGTCAGACTGGTTAAAGAGCATCTCTAATGTCCTGTCGGTATCCTCTTCCATCCATTTACAAACACAATTTCTGACTGGCTTCCTTTCAACAATGGCTTTCTTCAAACCAGATTTGTGGATGTAATGTCAACACATTCTTCCGCCTGAGCTATGGATCTCTGCAGCTCCTCCAAGGTTATCTATTGCCTTGCATTTCACTGCATGTAGAGCTGAAACTCTTTTGGGGTCGGTCTTCAACAGCGTCGCACTAAGACTGAAATCTCAAATTAGCTCAAGTTATGTCAGATTGGACTTCATGCATATGAGGACATACATTTTTCAGCTCTTGTCACATATTCCCAGTGGATTTAGGTCTGGACTTGGACTAGGCTGTGATCTATGCCCTTTCATTGTATCTCTGGCTGTACGTTCAGAGCTGTTGTTCTGCTGGAAGGTAAACCTATGCCTTAGTGTCAGGTTTTCTGTGAACTCCAATAAGTACGATAGTCCTATTTGTTTGGCTCAATCCGTCTTCACAGCTTTCCTGTCCCTGCTGAATAAAAGCACTTCCACAGTGAGCTCGTTTCATTGTAAGCATGGTGTTTGCTGGGTGATGTGTTGTGTTGACTTTCTGCCGCACTCAACGTTTTGTGTTTTGGGCCAAAAAGTTTCATTTTGGTCTCATTTGACTCCTTCTTTCACGCGTTTGCTTGTCCAACAGAAGGACTGTGGCAAAATGTAAATTGAACTTCTGATGATTTTATTTTAACAATGACTATCTTCTTGGCAATAATCCACAAAGATTATCTTAACTGACCTCTGGATCTCTGCGGCTTCACCAGAGTTACCAAGAGTCTGTCGACTGATTCTGTTAGTAATGCTCCTCTTGCCTGTCAGTTTAGATGGACATCTGTGTCGTTGTCGGTTTGCAGTTGTTTTACATTTTCAAATGATGGATTGAACGGAGCTGTCTGAGTGGTTCACAGCTTGGAGTACTCATTTATAACCTAACCGTGGTTTAAACCTCTCCATGCTATGTGTTCAGAAATAAAACTGGCCATTACAAAGCATCTGTATTTATTGTGAGATAAAATTACACACAGTGACTTCTGAATGTGATCGACTGACTAGGGAAATCAGAGCACATGCTTATGATTTTATTTATATATAGTTAGGAAAGCATTTATCATTTTTCATAAAATTCCAATAAGCAGCATTCATGGATTATAAAGGAACCTGATGTGTAAAATGTCCCTTTTGTAAGGAACTGCTTGTAAATGTGTTTTTTATAAGGTCAGGTTGTTATATGTTGGAGCTTCGCTGCTTCATCTCTCATGTATGCATTTGTGTTCATGCCCCCACTCCCTCTTCCAACACACACACACACACACACACACACACACACACACACACACACACACACACACTCATGCTCACGGCAAGCGGCTCACTCCAATTCCTCCTCCGAGCATCCGGCTGTTCCTCGCTCCTCCTGCTCCTCTGATCACTATCGTGCTCTCAAACCCAATCTGATCCCCTCTTACCCCCCTCCCCCACCAGCCCACCACTCATCCTCTTTCCGGATGTCAATCTATAATTGAAGATGCTTAATCATATCGCAGTGAAGCGGAACACATGACACCGGAGCTGTGCATGCTCAGGATACACATTTTTGCGTGCCATCACATCCGACCGGTCATCCCATACTGTATCTGTTATGATGATAGAAGAGGAGGGAGGGGGGGTGAGAGGGTGGACGTGTAACACTGGCTCTGCTAATTGCGAAGTCAATTAGCATATGGTCTTGCTGTAAGCCCAGTCACATGATAATGAGGTATAATTAGGGGGACCAGGGATCTTTGAGGAGGCAGGGGATGAATATGTGCACTGACAGTTTCCATAAAATGGCTCCCAGGAGGTTGGAAATATCTCATTCTTTTTAAGCGTGCATTTAATCATCTGTTGCGTTTCTCCTTTCGGATTTTTTATTTTTTCCAGGCTCCTTCTACATTTAAAAGCAGGTTTGCATCCAAATGTTACAAAACTCAGCAATTATGTCTTGGTCTAAAAAGAAGAAAATCCATGGGAAAGGACCACATTTGCTCACACCTACATTCATTTTAAAAGCACCAGTTAACCAAGTGAGCATATTTTGGGAATGTGGGAGGAAACAGTAGTACTCAGAGGAAACCTACGCATGCAGAGCATAAAAACTGCACGAGATTGGAGCCTGGAACAATTGGCAGCCTAAACTTCTGTATCAAGAACTCATCTGTTTTCATTTACATTAAGATTATTAAAAGAACAATTATGCACCTTTAGCTGAGTGTAGTTATTTCTTCAAAATTAAAATGACTCAGACTTTAGTGGGTAGTCTACTGCCACATTTTCTCATCCGTACTCTCCTTTGCCTCTTATTTTGAATTTTTGTAAATCTCACTAGCTGCTGCAAAGGACAAAAGACGAGCTAAATGTTTTCAGTGCAAAGATGCACGTTTGCATTCTCTCTGGTAAAGTCAGTCTTCTAATACAGAAACTGAAATGACAAAAAAAAAAAAAAACAATAATACAAAATTTGACAAGGGATTAAAACAAAAACAAAATATAATAAGGGTAAAGATCCTAAGAGATTTTTCTGATGTAGTTTCCACTAAGCAAAGAATTTTAAGTAATTACAAACCGATCTTAACTTATGACAGAGTTCTGTAGTGATGTAGCACAAAAGTACAAGGAGAAATTTTAACTTGCTAGAGCATTTATGCAGCAATTAAAATTTGCTTGTCCGTTTGGATAAATCTTTTGTCTCAGATAAATGTAGTTTATCTGAGACAAAAATCAACCTGAGAGTAGTTGATGTGGCCTAAGGCTGCAGCAAAACAAACAGCTTCACTGTTTGTTCAATGGCAGAACAAATCTTTATTCTGCCATTGTTCTGTCTAGGTGTGAGCCTCTACACTGTCAGTGTGATAACATTATAAACACATTTGATGGTATTTATGGTATATAGAGTATTTACTAACACTATCTTTTATAACCCAAAACATTGGTTTTATTGTTTTTTTTTTAAATTGCTTCTGTAGTTTGTCATGTAGTTTTAAAACACTGTTGCCATAACAATGGGGATTGATTTTTCCTTTTGTTTCCTGCAAAAGGAAATTCAGCATTTTTGTAATATGGAAAATATTTGGTAACCACCATGGCAGAGCAACATGTTGGGGAGGGGCAATGTAAAATCTTGGGATACCTTGATGTAGCACCAAGTCTAAACTGAAAACCATCTTGTGTTTACATCTATTGTATAAAGGTTATCACAGTGAAGGCTTGTTTCTATACATCTTAACTTCTAGGAGACAAATGTTTAGGATATTTCTACACTGATATTTCTTTGTGTGTTTTTATTTCGGTTTCTGCTTTCACACCTCCTGAGCAACAACCAACATTTAAACTAAATAACGCACAGCTTTCACTACAGAGATGCTTTCTCTACTCGAAACTAATAAAACCCCAACAAACCAAACTGAGTTAGCCAAAATGTCACCCATACATGGAGCCAGTATGAGATTTTTACAGTATGATAACCTGGACTAACAGCTTTCAGCCAGCTAACACGTAGTGCACAGCAACAGTTGGCATAAAATGTGTACAATGTTACTCTATGCTTTTTCCAGCAGGAAAAACCTCTGGTCAACCCGGTGCTTTCTCTGGCATCTCATCAAAAGTGCTTCAAATTGTAGGAAGGTTTTGATGGAATGTCTTTGCAGTCTCAAAATTGTAAAACCTTATTGTACCTTGACATTGGTAATCTGTCCAGGACATAAAGACAAAAGATAACTTCCTTCAACAGGCAGAATCATTAAAAGGTCCCCGCTCTCCAAAAGTAGCTAATGTGTACTGCGGAAAATTATTTGGAGAAACCCCCAGAAACATTATAATGGAAGCCTGGGAGTTATTACATACACTGTAGATACTGCTCTTCATTTAATGAGTCATTTCGGAGCAATTAGCAGGGAGCATTTATTAAATTGGTTTAAGTAAATTAGACATTTTTATAATTAATCATCCCTCAATGGCTGTTTCACTCAGAAAGCAAACTAGACATGTTTCTTTTGAATGATGATTCAGAGGCAGTAAACTCAACTTCACTCCTGGAAGAAGTCAAAAAAGCTTAGCACAAAACTGACGGTCTCATTTTATTTGTGATTAACTTGTGAGCTAATAACTCGTCCCTCCATCTGAGTAAGCGGCGGTCCGGTCGAATATTGCACATTTTTTAGAAACTGATATTTTGTGTGTTGCTGAAATAATATGGCCAAAACTGCTGCAGAACAGAAAGACACGAAGCAAGTCGTTAAAATGCAATAATCGTTCTGATCGTTACCACAGTAATTAGACAGCATCTGGCTGTGTGTTGCGTCTGATAATCATAGGAGTCTGTAATTGTCCTGGACCACTTGACTCATCACGCTCCCCCCCGCCCCCCATCCTTTTCTGTCCAGCCTGGAGCTCGTCTGAATGACTGCAGTGCTGCACATTTGTCCCCTCGAGCCTGTATTCCTGTTCAGTGCTGCAAAGAATGCATGCTGCATTTGCGTCACAATGGGGATTTGTGTTTCAACCATGCATGTTGTCCTCATAAGGACATATAATGCATGCAACCAAGCTAAATGTCAAACCTGCAGCATGCCAACAGAGGCATGTTGGACATGCATGCAGCACAAAAGCAAGCTTGCAACCTTGTGAGGTGTAGAATAAAGGAGCTCAGTGCCGCCCGGCTGTTTGCACTTGCAGCAGAACTGGCTGGAGCTGGATTGTTCCTGAATTACATAAGAAAAAGAACGAATAAAGGCAAGTGGAAGGAAGTGGAGGAGGAGGAAGGACCACAAGGATCTAAGATGGAAGAAAGGGGAAGATGAAGAGTGTTTGGAGGTCTTTTTTAAACGAGTAGCGTGTTGAAGGAGGAGGGGCACGGATGTCTAGCAGAACAGAGAATTTGAAACGGAGAACAGAAATGGCGACAGAAAGGAACATGCATGGCGAGGCAGAAGGCCGCCGATAATAAGCAGCCAATATCATCCTCCCTTTTCACACGGCTCACTAATATGAAAGAAATGTGAGGACTTAAGTAGCATATGTGCTGCATGTGCATGTCACTCTTAACATGTGGGATTTTACACATGCATGTGCAGCTGATGGCTCTCATGTGACCGCGCGTGTGTGTGGCCTGTGGTGGCTTCCGGCTCACAGGTTCTGCCAAGTCCCACTCAAAAAGCAGCCAGTGCAACCATCTGTGCAAGAGGGAGTGATGGGGCAGGAGGACGAGTGAGTGGAAAAGCCACTAGTGTGCAGGACGCAAGCCTCAGCCTCTTGTTGTGCATCCGTCTTGACTACGTGGCTTTATTGCCTCTGTCGTTGGAGCGAGACAAAGAAGGTGATGAAGATACAATAAGGAAGGAGAGAGCTTTTTCCCTACATTTGTCCTCTGCTGCGCTATCTCTGTAATTTAGAGACAAGAAGGACTAATCAGATGTGATGTGCCACATATATTTCGTTGTGCATAAATCTGTGCTTAAAAGCTTTGACTGATGGTGGATTAATAATAAGTGGTTTCGAGCTGATGCAGTATTGCAGAAAGGCGACAGAAGGAAAAGGGGGAGTTTTGACCCCTAATTGATAATCATGTACACAATCACATGCATGCAACTTGCACTGTTAGGCCTGCTGGGGCTTCCTAGGAAGTTCACTTGAAAACAACAGCTGCCTGTTCAAAATAGATGTAGGGGCACAAAATAGCTATAGCTTATAAATAAATAGGGGGGAGGTGAAGTGCAGTGGACGTAATAAAGAAGAATTACATTGAAGCCATTAAGTCTAAAAGTAGAAATCTGACCTTTGAACCTGTTGTTGTTTTTGTTCCAATTGTGGAAGTGCATTTCAAAAATATTACAATATGGTTTCATGATTTGACCACAGAAGATATGGACAGACGGTCGCTGTGCCACGACTGGTAGCTACAGTGTAGTATCTGTGATTGACATCCAGCAGTAAAGATGCAGGAGAAGACACAGTTCTTATTGACTAAATGGATTGTTCAAGGTAAAAACAACAGAGGGTCTGTTGATGCCTTATTATTGATTAATTAATTATTTCTAAGCACAGGATTTGTTTTCCCCACATAGAAATATAATAAAGTATAAGTTTAAATTCGTCTACAGTTTGCCTTGTAAGACCATGAGTGATTAATTTAATTTAACCTTTATTGCACATTACTAGGCATACTACATTTAGAACTGGCTTACAGTTGCTTGTACTTTAGTAAATCAGCCAATCACATGCCCGCAAGGCAATGCATTTAGGCATCTGGATGTGGTGAAGATTTTTAAAACCCAGCATCTGGATGAGAAAGAAAGGGGATTTAATGAATATGGCATGGTTGTTAGTGCCAGACAGGCTGGTTCGAATGCTTCATAAACTGCTTGTCTGCCGGGATTGCCAGGCACAACTGTGTTTTGGGTTTCCATAGAATGGTCTGGAAGGGAGGAAAATATCTAGAAAACAGCAGGTGGCCTTGTGGGTGTCAAGCGAAGAGGAGAATGGACAGAGTGGAAATGTAAGCGTAGCTCAAATAACCACAGATACCAAGGTACTCAGAATAACATCTATGAATGCACAACATGTACAAACAGATGGGCAACAGGAGCAGAAGAGCAAACCCATTTTGCTAAAAACAGGAAACTGGGGCTAAATTTATACATTACGGCTTGATTTATAGGATAACAGATTAAAAAACATTGGGAGCCTAATGAGTCTAAATTGCAGCTGAACCATTCAGATGGTATGTTCAGAACTTGGGGGAAAACAACATGGAAGAATTCATTCATTTTGCAGTTCAGGCCAGTGGTGGTGGTATGCTGGTGTAGTAGCGGATATTTGTTTTGCACACTTGGGGCCCCTTGTTACCAACTAACCATTCTTTAGACATCACTGAATATCTCAAAGAGGTTTCTTGAACATGGTGGTGTGCTCACTGTACTCTGTGTCCTTCAACTTGGCCAGATCTTAAAGGAAAGGGAGATCCCATAATTGGTGTGAAGCCAACAAATCTGCAGCAACTGTAAATGGTGTGTACTTGTATGGCACTTTCCAGAGCATCCCCCTGCTATTCAGTCACATACACATTCACACACTGATGGTGCCCCGCAGGGCAGAGCAAGGCACAGGAAAGGAAGGTGAGTTATGCAAAGAACAGGGATCGACCCGACAACCCACCGATTGTGGGACAAACTCCTACTGCTGTCGCTGTCCTGTGTGATGCTATCATATCCATACGGTCAAAAATCTCTGACACCTTGATAAAACATTGATATACCTTGAAGAATTGAGTCAGACCTGAAGGAAAAAAGTGAGTCCAACCCAGAACTATCAAAATATACTTCATGTAGAGGCTGGTATTGCACAGGTATTTGTTTCACCCCTGGTTTTGTAATTTTGGGGTTTGTCTTCTTTGTGTAGTCTCCCCATTATAGCAAAGTATTAGTCTGTATAAGTGACATGCAGGCCTGCATGTGTGACCAGAATGTTTATCTGATCCTGAACTACCCCCCCCCACCCCAGCAGTCTGCCTGCGTAACCCACTCTGACTCACGGACACTGGGAGTGGGAAGATAAAGCTCGGGATATCCAGTGTCCTTCATGTGGTATGCAAATACTGCTGTTGTCAATTTGTGGACACCATTACATTTCTCATGTCAAAGTTACATCTCCCTGAAGAAAACAATCGAAAGCTTATCTGCAAGCATAGAAAAGAGCAGAAAGCACTTTTTGAAAGCCGACTGTTTAGCTCACAAAGAATGCCAGGACATTTTGTGACAGCAACCTGCCAAGAGGATATGTTCATCTGTCTGGTGTTGTGGTGCTGTTCAACACACATCAGCCTTCCACAAAACACACAGTGTGTCAGGTGAGACGACAGCACAGATCATCTCTGCAAAGCCAACAAACAATTAAATGAAAAAAAAAAACTCAGTATGTGTATGATATGAGCAATAATCCTGACAGAGGGCAAAGTGTTAGATTGACAGCACTGATGTTGCACACTTCAAAAAGTACTAACAAGTACTTGTATTTTTGCTGGAGGTGCGGTGTTCTTGTGTGTAGTGCATTATGCAGCGTCTCACACCTTGCAAGAAGCCTGATAGTGAGTCACAATCTTTTCAGTGTATCTGTATTTTTTTCGTGGAAATATTCATGAAGTTGCAGCTCTTGTTTTCCCAGTGCTGTAGCTGCTCAGACGCCAGTCTTACACGGTGAACAGGCTGAAGCCAGCAGATCTGAGCTCCGCTTGCACTCTAAGAGTTGCTATTTTTGCCCCAAAGCTGTAAAAATATTTTAAAAGAAAAATGGCCACAACCTGCCACCAGTGAAACACAATGCGTAGTTTGTTTGTGTGTTCAGAGAAGCTTCAGTCAGTCACCCAGCATAAACTTTGGTCCTTTGTTCCATTTCTAAAACGCAGCAGAAGCCGATCGTCTGCTTTGTTTCAAGGACAGACCATTGCTACGGGAATGACTGACGGCTCAGCTTTAATGGCTCACCAACATTTGTGACTCATGACCTTTTTCCTGTCTCCACTTTCTGCCCTCATGCTCTGCATCAATCTTCCTGTCCATCCTCACTTCTGTTCACCTCTCAAAGATGGCGTTCCCACCTGTGTTCCTCCTGCTGCTGGCTGTTACTCATCATGCCCACGGTCAGGATCCGGACGACTCCGAGGCTCTCCCAAGAGGCTGCGGCTGGGGTCTCGGGCGACCCTACACTCTCCTGTGCGACCTGGAATCCATCTGGGGCGTAGCTGTCGAATCTGTGGCTGCCGGTGGGACGTTGGCAGCCATCCTACTCGCTCTGGTCCTGCTGTGTCGTCTGCGCCACATCAGCGAAGCAGAGAAGCGCTGTGGCGTAGGGCCCATTCTCCTCCTGCTCCTGGGGATATTTGGCTTGTTCAGCCTCAGTTTTGCCTACCTGGTCGAGCAGGATGAGTCTCTCTGTCTGATCCGTAGGGCTTTGTGGGGTCTCCTTTTTGCCGTCTGCTTCTCCTGCCTGTTGGTTCAGGGGGTTCGTCTGCGCAGGCTCGGCCGAGAACGCCGAAGCCCCGGCGGATGTGCTCTAACGGGTCTGGCGTTAGGTCTGAGTGCCGTGCAGGGCATCATTGCCGCTGAGTGGCTACTTCTGACCGTGCTGAGGGAAGGTAGAGCAGCCTGTCAGTACATGCCTTTGGACTTCTCATTAGCCTGCAGCTACGTGCTAGCCCTGCTTCTCGCTGCCCTTACTGCCGCCTCCTTGGCTCTGTGTGGAAAAACACGTCAGTGGCGCTGCAATGCTGTCTGGCTGCTGGTGACATGCCTGCTGTCATTGCTGCTGTGGGTGGCCTGGGTGGGCTTCTACCTGTATGGTAACGACTGGCTCGGCAGGTCCCCAGAGTGGAACAACCCCGCACTGGCGATAGCCTTGGTGACTCAGGGCTGGCTCCTGCTGATCTTCCACGCTATTCCCGAATCCCACATCTGCTTGAGACCCCCACCGCAACCCACCGCCCCAGACTACTTTGACACTTCCCAGAACTCAACACGTATGAGGGAGACGAGCTTTGATGAAGACATCCCTCTGTCTCACCGGCAGTTTGTGGATAACCAGAGCTACGGATACAGCGACGAGAACACAGCAGGTACACCACCACCGTTCAGCATTCTAGAGGGCATCCTTTATCTGGGCAGTATGGAAATATATGTGCCATCAGACTTTGAATAAAAAATGCCTTTGAAATTTGAATGTTGTATATTAGTGCTTACTTTTTCAGTGTTAAAATGAATTCAGAATATTTTTAACCAAAAAAAAAAAAAAAAAAAAAAAAAAAAAAAAAGTGCAATTTTTTTAACATAAAAAAACCCAAAAAAACCCCATAACCTAAACCTCTTTTTGAAAA